GTGAAAGACATGGGGGGGATGGTTTTAAAATTAAAAGGACAGGCTCAGTTTGGATATTAGGAAGAAAGTCTTGTGTGTCAGGGTGGTGAGGCAGTGGCACAGGTTCCCCCCAGAAGCTGTGAAGGCCCCAGCCCTGGGACTGTTAAAGGCCTGATGGGATGGGGCTTGGAGAAACCTGGTCTACTGGAAGGTGTCCCTTCTCTTGGAAGGGGGATTGGAACCAGATGAATTTTAAGGTCCCTTCCAACCCAAACCATTCTGTGATTCGATGACCAGAGGGGCCAGGTGGCAGGAGGCCTAATTTGGGATGAGAAGCCATTCAGCACTCTCAATTTGGTCAAGCTCAATGCAACTGTTCACGAGCACACACTCACAACTAGTGCGATTTACCAAACCTCTAGGCCTGGTTGTGTTCCACACAAACTTGCACGATCCAGATTCTAGAATAGCACTCTTTATTGAAGCAAGGGAAAAGCGGTTTCTGGATTCCAGTCCTAAATGCAGTGACCACAGGGCGTTAAAATGTGCTGGGACAGATGAATTGGTGCTATATTTATGTACTAATAATATTATATCAAATGAATTGCCTACAGTATTTATTTTCTATACATATAAAAGTTTATAAACTTACATATTTATATATTAAAAAATAGAAGTCTTTATTGAAGCAAAGGGAAAGCAGTTTCCTGGATTTCTAATCAGGAATGCAGTGACTACAGGGAGTTAATATGCAACGGGATTAATGAGGAGAGAACTATTGGTGCTACATTTATATAAAAAATAGTATTATATAGAATAAATTACCTAAAATATATATTATACATATTATAAATAGATATGTTATAATAAGATATAAAGATTAAAAATGATATATTTATATGAAAGAAAATTAAGGTCAGCTAAAACACAGTCTGAGAAAGATAGTCTTGGTGCAATGCTGACCTAAAGGTGTTCCATAAGGGCACAATAGGAGACACTGTGAGAGATTTATTTGTGCTATATTTATATATTAAAAATTATTATTTACATAAATTATATGTATGTGCACTATAATAAATATATTTTTCTATGTTCTATTAATTAAAATCTATATATTAAATAAAAATATATATTTATATATGAAAGATTTCTGGTCAGGACCAAAAGAGTAGGCAAAATCCTGACCTACTGATGTCCCTTCAGGGAACAAGGAGAGATACCATTTAGGAATATTAGCGATGCCTCTCACTTGATCCCTGAGCAGCCAGAGCTGTCAGAAAGAATTCCTGGGCCTATCTAAAATGGTCACAATGGCCGTGAGAGTGGGAGGGGAAAGGAGGATGAAAGACATCTCTGTAGTCCCCCTGATCATCACTGGATGCTGTACTGGGCAGACTGCTGAGGGGAATGCTGATGGCAGAGCGCTGCTGCAAAGGGTTTTCCGTTCCCTCTCTCTGTCCACATTTTCCTCTCTTTTTTCCTGTGGTTTGAAGTGGTTGTCTTGGACCAGTTGTGAGCCCCCCAAGCACAGCTGTGTGAAGGAAGACTTCTTTCAGTGGCCTTCTAGCAACATTATTTTGAGCCGGTATCGCAGATTACGGTACTCGCTTATTGCCTGGGTGTAGGCAACCGGATTCTGCGCCAGGTGATAGAAGAGGTTGAGTGGCTCGGCAGTTTGGACTTCCAGGGGCAAGCTGATCACCTCAGGAACCCTCTGGTTGCCCACAATAAAGTGGTTAAGGCGTTTCTCCAACAAGGAGCAACGCAGGTACTCTATGCTATCCTCCAACTGAAGCAGAATATACCTGCTGCCCCACCGTGACACGGGTATGGTGTTCAGGAGGTGCATCACAATGGTCTTCATCATATAAGTAGAGAAGCCAATGCCCACCACAGCACGGGCCAAGAGCTGCAGGCATTTGAGGTGCCAGCTGTCAGGTGGAACCTGCTTGGAAATGTGCCTGAAGAACTTCATCTCTGCCACGGCGTAGGTCTCAGGCC